TGCATTAGAACTTAACTTTACAATTTATATGCACTAGATTTCAAAGAGCAAACACAGCCATGAGCTCTGGTTGCTCTGAGATCTCATTCACCCTAGCTCTCTCCTCACAGATATTATACAAACTTAACAGGTAGTAAAGGAATACAGATATCTCGACTGCAGTGGGGCTCAAAAATATTTTCTACTCTCAACTCAGTGAAAGATCGGGATTTTCATGGACTTGGGCCAATAGTTAAATTACCACAAGCCACAGTTGTACTGGTTATGACTGCATAGTCCAATAACAGCGACACATGGGAGAAGCAGGATAGCTTTAAAGTATTACAGACGTGATTTACCATGCTTCTTAGATTACTGTGACTGTACAGATTCTTATAGAAATCAAGGGTTTTCTTTTCTCTCTCTCTCTTTTTTTTTTTCTTTTCTTTTCTTTTTAAGAGAACATTCATTTTAACTGGAGGGAAAAGTGCTGAAGAAATGTCTATTGTTTCCTTCAAAGTCTGGAAATGCTTCTAGAAAATAATTGAAGTTCTGAAAGAGAATATTTTAATTTTCCCCTGAAAAATACTGATCACTGCCTGCCTAAATTGCAGCTTAATAGAGAATAGGGAAAAACTATGAAAACAGGAAAAATCAACATCTCACTATCAAAAAATAATTTTAACAACAAAATTTTTTTCTTTTTTTTTCTTTTTTTTTTCTCCCCCTCATTGGTGAAGTGTTTTCTTTCTCTAGGTTATTTTTACAAGTTCACTGGTACCAGCTATGTTCCTTTTCTCCTCTTCTAGGTAAGCACTTAATACAATCTCCTCCCTGCCCACTCCAAAACATCTAAATATAACCCTCAGTTTTAGGAGCTGCCACCTTATTTGCATCTACTGAATTGTTTCTCATATTTTTCTGGGGATTACTCTGGTTATTTAGCAAATGCTGTAGAATATCTCAAAGTCATTGGCAAACCCTCTTCTGGAGGTAACCAGGATTGGTTTTTCACAAGCAATAAAAGGCAGGGTGTTGAAGGTCTCTCCTTCCCTCATCCCAACAGCTGAGCACTTTTCTGCCTTTAATAGCTTGGTGCGGGAGGCAGACAGGCTGGAAGGCAGAGCCAGCTCCAACAAGTGGCACTAGAAAAGGCTGACCAACAAGGCACAGGTCCCTGACACCACACTGTCAAAAGCAATGTTCCCATTTAGTCACTTGCACTCAGTGTCTTTCAAGCCTCATTGAACTCCAACAGGGGTAAAGAAGTCTTTGCAACGAATGTTCTCTTCATCCCCAGGACCGAGACGTTTAGAGGATGTCAGTGCCATCACTCCAGCCTGGGATAACGCTGAAACAACTGCTGTCAGCGCCGTGATGACAACAGGATGGAGGAACGCTGTTAACAACAGGCGGCCGTCAACACTTCCAAAACTCTCCTCCGAAATAAGGCCACCGGTTTGTCTCTAAATCTTGCTCCGGGTGCGTGTCTCGCTGTGAGCTGCGGTGTTTGGGGTCTCTCCAGAGCAGCGAGCGGTGCAGCAGCCGCCAGGACCCCAGCCGAGGGTGGCAGCTGTAGAGGCATCGTTACGTCCTGCCTCCCGCTGCTCCGCGCGAGCTGCTGCTCCTAGCTACGATGGGCTTTTTTATTTCCACTCGGTTTATGTGTGACATAATTTCCCCATAAAGGAGGGCTGATTGTAAATCCAGATGGAAATGGAACAGTTTGCATGAAATGCACTTTAATTAATTAGCTAAATGCTCGCAAAGTGCTTTGAAGATGTAAAGCACCATACAAGTGTTAAACGGTAATAATAATAAAATAACAATAATTAATTTCCCCAGGAAGTATGTGTACAGAACATGCCCAAAATATTCCTGTTTAAGAGCAAAGAAACCAATAACAATAAAAATAATTAAAAAAATCCACTTTACTTCTGACATTCTACTGAGGGCCAAGAACCTCAATAAGATAAATTAATTCATTTATGCATCCATGGAGACAAGAGTTTGCATCTAGTCTAAAATGAAAATAATGTCCACAGTGCCCATTAGTCAGTGTGACAGACCAGAAGTATAATTTTGAGCAGTTAAACAAGACAGAGCTGTTCAACAATAAAACGCTTGATAAGGGGACCTGACCACTGCCTAATCACAGATTTCTTTTCCCATAAAACCAGTATAGCCCAGCAATACAATGGCCTGCAGTGGCTCAAAGTCTGGTTGTTGGTCCATCTCCTCTGTCTCACAGAAGAGGAAGGTGAGAATCCAGCCTGAGATTTACTCTTTTACACAATGTTCCTGGGGCCGGTCCTCTTTAACATCTTCATCAATGATCTGGATGACGGCATTGAGTGCACCCTCAGTAAGTTTGCAGATGACACCAAGCTAGGTGCGTGTGTCGATCTGCTTGAGGGTAGGAAGGCTCTGCAGGAGGATCTGGATAGGCTGCACCGATGGGCTGAGGTCAACTGCATGAAGTTCAACAAGGCCAAGTGCCGGGTCCTGCACCTGGGGCGCAATAACCCCAAGCAGAACTACAGGCTGGGAGAGGAATGGTTGGAGAGCTGCCAGGCAGAGAAGGACCTGGGAGTGATGGTGGACAGTCGGCTGAATATGAGCCAGCAGTGTGCTCAGGTGGCCAAGAAGGCCAACGGCATCCTGGCTTGTATCAGAAACAGTGTGACCAGCAGGGCTAGGGAGGTGATCGTCCCCCTGTACTCGGCTCTGGTGAGGCTGCACCTCGAGTACTGTGTTCAGTTTTGGGCCCCTCGCTACAAGAAGGACATCGAGGTGCTTGAGCGGGTCCAAAGAAGGGCGACGAAGCTGGTGAGGGGCCTGGAGAGCAAGTCCTATGAGGAGCGGCTGAAGGAGCTGGGCTTGTTCAGCCTAGAGAAGAGGAGGCTCAGGGGTGACCTTATTGCTCTGTATAAGTACATTAAAGGAGGCTGTAGCGAGGTGGGGGTTGGCCTGTTCTCCCATGTGCCTGGTGACAGGACGAGGGGGAATGGGCTAAAGTTACGCCAGGGGAGTTTTAGGTTAGATGTTAGGAAGAATTTCTTTACTGAAAGGGTTGTGAGGCACTGGAACGGGCTGCCCAGGGAGGTGGTGGAGTCACCATCCCTGGAAGTCTTCAAAAGACGTTTAGATGTAGAGCTTAGGGATATGGTTTAGTGGGGACTGTTAGTGTTAGGTTAGAGGTTGGACTCGATGACCTTGAGGTCTCTTCCAACCTAGAAATTCTGTGATTCTGTGATTCCTGGCAGCAGTCTGGAAAACTGCTCCCCTCCCTTGAGGAAGTGTTCACTTTGGTGCCTCCATTCAAAAAAAATCTCTGCGTGCAAGAAGTTATTGAGAAGGAAAAACTATTGCAAAGGCTAATAGAAATATGCATTTGCCAGAGGATTTGCTCTGGAAGCATCTGAAGGTTGTCCTGAAGTCTCTGTAGGTCTTCAGAGTAAATCATCCGCTCAAGTGCCAACCTCGTGCTGTATCACCAGGACTGCACTTGCTAAAGGAAACTGGGCTAGATCATCCTCACTTTGGAGGAGGGAGATGACAGCACAGTATTTCCTCAGCTTTGTGACAAACTTTCACTTGAAATCGTCCCAGAGTTGTTAACCGAACCGTGACATCCCACAAAGTACATCTGCTGGTGCAGGTCACCGCAGAGACTAAAAGGTAGGGCAGAGACACTCTGTAGATGGTCTGATTATGCCTTGCATTTTTCATGCTTTATACAAGTGCATGGATGAACGGTGAAAGTTTATGTCATTAATCAGTGGCTTATACCCAGAGCATTAGGGATTTTAAAGCTGAGAAGATAATGTGACAAATGAAAAAACGATGTGAATTAATGAAAAACTGACTTTTCCTCTTGATATTAATTCACTTCTATGGCAAGGGTGCAATCAAATTCATGAAGAGGTTTTGATGGATATGGAGAGAGAGGAAAGCACCATTTATCACTCGGAAAGGCTTCACACAGCACAAGAACGGCCCCTTTACAGTAGCATAACTGCAGGAGGTGTCATCCACCATGAAGCCTCTCTGATGGCTATCCCTCCCGGAACTGGGGGGATGTAAGGGCTGCAAATGAGGTATTAAGCTTCTCCCAAGAGCCTGGATATAGGAGTTTACTTTTAATCTATTTTAGAATTATAAAACTGAGATGAAAAGCTGTGCTGCTATCTTGCAGAAGGACTCTGGCATGCAGTTCAACCACAAAAAGTACATACGAGAGTCACAAGTCTAGCAGAATTTTGAGATTTTTTTTCCCCCAAGCACTGTTCTGTATGGTACAACATCATATAACAAGAGGCACTAAAAAGAGAGACTTTAACTTTACCAAATGTGGACTTTATCTCTGTGTCTGTTAAAAAAAAAAAAGTGGTTCTAGATGCATCTATAACCTTGCTACCAAAGCAGAGAGAGATGCAGTCTCTACCAGAAGAGGTAACAAGAAGCATTTAGAAGTATTTTCACATTTCTAAGTCCAGCCCTTTTCCCTAAAGCAAAAACTCAGCTTTGTTCCAAAACAGGAATGGTATCTGACAGTCAAAGAGAATTTTCTTGAAAAGGAAGCCTGGAGTATGAAGAAAAAGCCGAAGATTTTGAGCATGGGAAAACAGGGTAACCTTACCCTGATTCTGAATTCATCCCATTTTCACTGAGAAGCAACAGGGAATTTGTAATCTCCACACAACTCCAACGGTTCTAAATGAATAAAAAGATTGAGATTGACCTGCTGAATTTGACCATTATTTTAATGAAAAATTCCCATCTAAGGACTAAAAGACTTGGCCCTTGGAAATCCAACTTGTACTTGCAGAGCTGTTTACTGACCTTTTCTGTAAGCCGATGTAGTCATGAGCAGTAAGATCAAAGGCCTGATGAATGTCTGATGTGAAGTGAAAAGAAAAGGCTTCAGGCTCTTTCCCTTAGAGACTGATGAACACTCATTTCCAGTTAATTTAATAGGATATATGATGAAAAAAGGACTCCTGTATGCATTACATTGAATGCAATCTCTTGTATTTTCTCGGCCTAAGTGGCCAGCCTGTTGCAGTGAATCTGTGTGTTAACAGATACACAACATTGTCAGATGAACCTGCCTCTTCAGGGCTCAGCTTGCAAAGCTCTGGATGCACTGTGCTGTAGAAATCATACACCCATGGCATAATGTAGGTTTGGGGTGGATATAGAAACTCAAAGATGAGGTTGGTTTGTGACAAACAGCTGAGATGATCTAAAGCCTCCAGTGGGACCAGCAAAGCTTCACTATTTGGAGGGGAGCAGCAGTGATAACAACCATGATGGTCTGAGTGCTGTTTTAGGACTGTGAAATGATTAAAGCAAGGGCATGAAGGAGGAGTGTACTCTAAGGCAGTGATTATCAGCATCAGACTTGAAGCTGACATGTGAAATTGAATATCGCATTTCTTGACTTGTGAACATTTTACTTCCAAGCCATCTCTGAGTTTTTTTTTGTTGTTGTTGTTTTTTTGTTGTTGTTGTTTTTTTTGGCATAGGAACAAAGCCACACACCTTGAAGGAGCAATGGCAAACCCAGCATGAAGCAACACACTGCCTATGGTACGGCTCAGTGGGAGCAGCTTTCCCCATACACCTCTCAGCACCAACTCCTGCAAGTTTCATGGAAGGGAGGAACACAAAAATATTCCTATGTGCATGCCCACTGATAGTTCCTAGCCCAACTCCCTCTGTACAAAAGTAAAACTCAAAGCCTTTGAAAAAAGACTATATATTCTTTCATTTCCACTTGGAAGATAATTCATTCCTATACATAATGATTTTGGAAGGGGCATAATGAAAGGGAAGATGGAAAATGTCAATACCATTCAATGAAATACATTTAGTGAAGCTGAGCATTTGGCCTTTGTCAATCCTGCTGGGATAGTCAGGGCTGTAAAATGGTTCAGTGCCTGTCTGCACTTTTAAAACCTTTTATTTTTCTCCTACAGGAGATAGTGTAATGCTGGAAAGACTGTGATTTACCTCTGCAGAGGATCTAAAAGGAGACATGCTCCCAAAAGTGCATTTTACCTGGGGAAGCTACAGCTGCTACACCTGTACACTATTCTTTCAAATTTAGCCTAGCACCCACCCTCTCTTCTCCCTGAGACTCAGCATTCCCATTCCATATCAAATGCACATGAGATGCTACCATGCTGGTCTCTGAATACTGAAACTGCTCCAAAGAAACTATAAACTATTTCTGTTGTAGCAGGTCCTAATTGCACAAAAAAAGATTGCCACGATTACTCTCTGCAAATCAGGACTGCAGAGATAGCTCTGCAAATATCCCTGCTTACCATGTTTTCTGCAGCCTCCTCATTGTTTTCTTATCCTCCATTCCTAAGCACATTGGTGCAAGCACATTCTTTATTTTTTCTTGGGATAGCACTTACCACAGTGGCAAACAGGACTTTACCCAGGCTTCAGAGATCAGATGATGGTCACAATACTAATTAATAATAGCTCCAAACACTGCCAGGCCTCCTCAAAGTTTTAATCTCTTTATGCTGAGTAGTTCAGTTTGCTTTTGTATACAATTGTGTCCAGAATTATGTCCCCAACTGATAAACTGCCAGTCAGCAAGTACAGCTCTGATTTCATTACCTCCCAAATAGATGTACACTGGAAATAGTCAGAAGAGCAACAGGGTTAAGTCTCTTCTATAACTAACATTAACATAGGCTGTAGGACGACTGCTTAAGAACTGGAACCTCAGACAAAATTCATGCCCATCTGCTGTGCCTTACAGACACTGTCCACTTTAACTAATTAATACAAACTTTGGGTTTTAAACTAGAAAAATGGAGATGTCAGCAAGAAAGTGAACCAATTCAGGAGCTTCAGCCCTTCCTGTGCCTAAATCCAACTGCTAGTCTCAATGGCAATAAATTAGTGTTTAAAACACTTTAGCTTTTCATCATCCATTAGAGTAAACATCCGCTGCTCATTTATTTTCCTTCTGCAGGATCATTGTCTTCACAAGTCTGAATGAATTGATTTCTTCAAATTGGGCTGGGTATCACGAGAGGGCTAAATATTCCCAACAGACCAGAGCATGAACTGAGTGGTGTATGTGTGTGAAATAAATTCTCATCCAAAGAAGGAGGAAGTGACAGATCAATACAGAGCTACCATTACAAGTCTGGGAGTGCCAGGAAAACCACACAGCGCACATACGAGTAAAATGGGGCCTCCTAGATAAGAAGGAAAGTATCACTTTTCCCATTTTATAGTTAAAATGGAATTTTAGGATGGAAGTCAAATAATTTGAGATCAAAAAACAAACCTTAAAATTATGAAGAAAACCCAGGAATTCTGGATGTTACCCCCACACTCTCTGTTCCCAGCTACGTTGACATCTGAATTTGTAAGAAAATAAAACATACAATAAAATAACCGTGGATCATAAGTCACTGCAATTCACGCTGCCAGGAGGTACCTTAGTTTTGCATTTCTGAGATAAATCAGAAAGCAAAAAGACAAGGAAAGTTTGTTTCCTGTCCTATAAAATTCCACTACTCTGTCTGACTGGTTTTGCATACACAGACACACACGTGCGTGCACTTGCATTCAATGTTGCTGCATGATATTGGGTTTTCTGGATCAGTCTCAAAGCTGGCATTACTTAGAAAACCAAGAGCCTCTCCTCTGCTTGTTTATGGACCATGAATGAGATTGCACTTACCTTGATGATCCTTCTATTAGACCACATTTCATGACCGTAACATAGCCTGCACCAAAGAGAGGACACATCCACACGAGGAAATCCATCAAAAGGCATCAATGCATCACTCTGAACATGCCCAGGAAACACCTATTTGTCTCTCATCCTTTAATTTAATCTAGTTTTTCTCTTTTCTGGTTTCTTTCCCTTTTTACCTGCTCACCAAATGGAATCGCGTTGATAGGACAGCAGAGATACCAGCTGCTCTGTAACTCTCTCCATTTATCTCTCTTAGGTACTTATGTGCCTGCTTAACAATATGCACCTGCTTGAATCCATCCTTATTCAGTGAAACATTCAGAACTCATTGTGAGCCCCACTGATACCAAGCAGAGTTAAACACAGTTAATGTCATGCTTAAAATTCTGCCCAGATGAGTAGTGCTTTGTCAAATCTTTTTATGGCACTGAATACCTTAGCAATGCAGGTGTAAATGACCTTCAAAAAGCAGCTTATTACAGTTGTTCACAGGAATTAAGGACCAATACTTTAGGGGACAGTTAAGGAAATGTACCTGACTTTAGGTCTTTGCCACTCACAACCAAAAGTTCAAGGAAGCTGGGATAAGAAGGCTCAATCGACTCTCAAAAAAATCACAAAAGCCCTGAGAGATAAATGCACAAAGATGCTATTTTTAAAGTTCTTGGGATAAAAAATGCTCTTAGCTGCCATAAAACTCAGAAGGCTTCTGTATGTTTCATTTTATCTGCCTAAAGGCTTATTTTACATGTTGCAAAATACAAAGGTAACGTGGGGTGTTGTTTCGTAGCTGCTTACCTACAATTTTCAAAACCTGAAAATCATGATCAAAAAATGAGACCACCCCAGTGAAAACCTTTCAATATCTCAGATGCTATCCTGACTCATCATGACTAAAGCAGTAATTTATCTCTGTTACAATCAGTACACTTATTTTCCATCAATGACAGAAATAACCTAGAAAATGCATGGAGTGGACTCATAAAAGACTCTGTGCCAGAGTAGGTGGAATGAGGACTCCAAAACTGTACCTGTGGTCTATTTATTCTCAAGAATATAAAATAAATAAAACTGTTTCTAGCCTAAAGAAAAATTGTCTGTGGTGTTTGTAAGAGCCATCTGTTCTCCAGGAGATCGTTGACCACTGCACAAATGGAGTGGCAGTGCCTAATGGGAGGTGGCTAGCAGGCAGGCGCAGCGAGCAAGCTGAACAGCTCGGCCTCTAACTGCTAAAAACTGGTGCTGGTTGAGCTGCCTGCCTGAACTGCCAACGGCTCGGCCATTAGAGGGCTCAGGACATTTATCTGCAGACAGGTTTAGGGCTCTTCATCAATTTTCATCTCTCTGTTCTTTTCTAACCCTCTATAAACTCCATCTGGTCTTTGGATCCGCCTGGAGCTTTGTGCACGATAAAACTAATGCACCCAGGGTGGAAGGTGTGTGAAAGCCATAGAAAAGGAGTAGATTTTGCAAGGGCAAACATTTACATTTTTATTTTCTATTCTCTCTGATGCAGCCACAAGAACCATATCACTGAAAGCCTTACCAAGACCTTTCCAAGTGCTGGAAGCCTTTCAAGTCGGGTGTGCTGTGGAGGCACCAAGGTCCCAGCGCCCACCAGTGCCTCAGTGCTGCACTTCTTTTGGTGCTCAGATAAGCCTTTTGCCTTGAGAAAGCTCTTACAGAGCACAGTTCATCCTCCTAGCAATACATTCACCACGGGCTTGCCAGAGATGACTGCTTTGCACCACTTCCCCTGTTCAATATGCTGAGATATTTGTTGTCTGGTTCTCCCTACCCATGAAATCTCTCCCCAGTAAAGCCATTTTGCTATGAGGCACCAGCGAAGCTCCCAGCTAGTAAAGGAAATGGTGAGGCAGAATGCATGGCCCCCGTAGGAGGTAAATCATGACAACACAGCTTGCAAATAACATCAGACATCACCACGCTCATTCAAAGCCAGCCGAAGAGCTCTCCCATTTGAGTTCCCCCCATCACCTCTTTGCATGCACACAGCACAACTGCTCACACGCAAAGCCAGTGGATGACTGCACGGAAATAAAAACACACAGGGTAAAACTAAATCAAATCCTGCTCCTCCTGACAGCTGGAAAAGGAAGGTTGGGGTGTTTATCGTTTTCCTATTTTTCACCCTCACAGTGAACTATGAGAGCCCATGACACTGGATACCTAAGAAGAATCTGTATAGAAAGGATGCAGCATTATAAGGAGGACAAAATAACTGAAACAAGCCCAGCCCCTTTGCCCAGAAGGCAAATTCATTGCTATTTCACTTCAATGCCTGCTGAAGCTGTGGACTCCTCCCTTGGTCTCAGCAGTGATTTTATTTCCTTAATTAATCAATTACACATGTAACTGTGGTCCATTAGCAAGGCAGATGATTGTCTTCAGTCTCTGATTACTGGTTTTGGAAGGACCCAAAAATATTTCGGTTAAGATGAATAGATTTCCTCTATGAGGTTTTAATGAGACCATTTAGCATTAAAAAAGAAAAAAACAACAAACAAACAAACAGACAAAAAAGAATTAAAATGGGCATAATAAGCCAACTCCACCTGCATCATGCACTTGGGAGAAACAACAGGCCCCAGTTTTAGACCTTGTCTGTGCTTAATTGTACTTGGAAGAGCACATAATGGAAGGCTAATGGTACCTATGTGTTTAGTTCACTTAGCAGCACAAAGGGGATGATTTCCTACATGCAGTATAGCACTTTGCTTGGCTGCTTTATAAGATAATGATCAGGAGACATACATTAGTAATAGACTGGCAGGACCAGCGTGTCCTGGGTTATAAACCCCAGCTGGTTACGATCATAGTTATTAATAATAACAGTAATTTGCATTTGTAAATCACATATGACCACAAAAGCTACCAGAGTCTGTTTATACAATACACATATTACAGTAAGTCTAATTTCACCTGTGTATAAATATATGGGCATTTTCCAGCGCAGGGGCATGTTTTCAAAGATGCAAAACCTGGGTTCTCATTGCCACTCAGTGCACTGAGCTGCTCAAGAATATCCAGCCAGGATTTCAGCACTCACTTTTCTGACATCTTACTACACCGTGTGTGTATGCTTTTCATTAATCTGCTATTGACAAGAAGAGCTCAGCGCAGTGACTTTAAATATCATCTGGAAGTCTGAAAGCCTCTAGTCTCCAGGAAGTGCTTGCCCCTGTGTCACTGCCACTATTACCGGCTAATTTGCATTTACATACTTTGTTTTGCATTGTATTTACCACCTTCTGTCTGTTTTCCTTCCTGGCACTGAGGATGCAAACAACAATCAACATGTGACATCAGCTACTGCTTACAACTGTCCCTATCCCTGTTGCCTTTCGTCAGCCTTTCTTAATGTTTTACTGATTATTTTTCAAACTGAGAGGCTGAGAGCCAGGAAATTCCTGAAAAATTAGTTCTGAACGCAAGTGCTAAAAATACACATTTCATATAATGCTGAAAAGAAGACAAAGTGTTCCCCCGACTACATTTGCCAAAACATCTCTGAAATCCAAATAAATTAAACTTCTTATTCAATCAGCACTGCCAAGTAGATGGGTACAAGCATCTTGCTCTCCAGCAGTGAGCATTGGATAACAAGTATATTAGCCAGATTGTAGGACTTATTCTGGTCTTTGTTCTACCAGGAGTAGGAGGACCAAGGCCTTCAAATTCTTGCTGGAGCAGATGTCCTACACCCCTGACAGAGCACTTCCAGAGCTCCTGGTGCTGTCCCAACTTACGAAGTCAACTAGGCTTTCACCCCTCTGTCTTCTAAGGATATTCAGGCACCATAGTGGAGTGAAATTTCAGAAATGAAAGGATAAAATGGCCCAAAAGCCAGTATGAAGGCAGTTCACTAAGAAGCAATTTGCATTGTAAAGAAGCCTCATAAATATGCAGCCTATTAATATCTGCCTCCGTTTGTGACAAATGTCACCAGGCTGATTTGAGTTGCTTTGGAGGCAGAACAGATAGCAATTATGTATCACCCCTGAAGACTCTCTCAACAAATGATTCACATTTGAGGGGACAAGCTTTCTTTTGTTGTGTTTTCCTGAATAGTAATTTCAACACTAAAGTCCAGGTTTTCAAAGGCTTCAGACTTAGGGTCACCTCTTTGTGCCATTTGCATCTCCCTGCCGCATCCTCCCTATTGCACTTTGTGTTGCACAAACTTGAAAGAAAAACCTGCCAGGGATCAGAAAGTAATGGAGACAATTAAGTCTTTGGGCATTTCACATAGCTTCAGGGCTATGGTGGCTGAGGACAAGTTTTCTGAAGGTGTGTCAATACTAAATCTTGCAGACCAGACCCTTGAAGGTTTCTACTGCAAGCTGTGGTGAGATCAAGAAAATATATCCAGCTCCCCTACAGGAAAATGTGAGTAAAGTGAAATCTGTAGTGCCAGAATGTCACCTTTATAATCCTGACCACCTACATTTTACAGCCACAGTCTTGTTCTTCTCCTTCTAGCCCACTGCACCCATGTCTTCAAGGAACCAAGTATCTCTTGCATATCTAGCAGTAATCACTTCTAAATTGTGTCTTTTCTCTCCTGCCTTTCTAATATCTTTACGTATTTGTATATCTCAGGACAGACAAGCAAAAGACAGAAATTTCCTGGGATGTGAATAGTCTGACTTAGGGACATCTTTTTTTTCCCTTCGATTGCACACATACCATTAACAGGCAATAAACTTTGGATCTTGAAGTAGGGCACTCAGTGAGATGAGCGAAGGTTCAGGAATCATTTGAATGTGCTCATCTAACTTATTTATATTTGTATTTAGTTTGTGGAATAAAACGTCAGTGTAATTGAGCATCTTGAGTGCAATGTGTAGCTTTTGTAGTTTCAGGTGTTTCTGAAAATCGTCAGAGAAATGTGCCATTGCCTGGCCTTTGCTGTAGTTTGACACTTTTAAGAAATTTGTCATAGAAGAAATGCTCTTACTGGACCTCAGGCATTCAGAGGAGAAAACAAGCTCAAAGAGAGGCCAAAAAATCACTCCAATTCACCTGGTGGACTCTTAACAAGAAGCCCGTGAAACAGATCCCTGGGGGAGGGAACAGAGTACCAGAATCTGTTGTTTCTCCAGAATCTGATGACTGCCGATGGGAGCTGTCAGTTCCCAGACACCACAAATCCCTACCCCAGCAGGCACTGACTGGGTGCCTTGTTTTACATCCCATTATAGAGGTACCACTTCTCCACTGCCATCCAGTCCTCTCCATCTCTCAGGCAGTTTAAGAGGCAGTAATGGCAAAGTTATCAACACCTTCCCATTTTCTGTTTTGTTACCTCCGGTACAAATATCCATTACACATTCTGACAAGGAGAAAATGAAATTGCAAAGTGTTAGGCTGCAGGTATTTAGTTTAACGATTGGGGCTGTCTTTAAAACACTATAATGACACCATCCCAGCCAGATAACTTAGAGATAGGGTATTATGGAGATTTCTACACTTTGAATTTAAATTAAAATTTGCTGTGATTTAAGATGTTATCTCCTTTGAAGGTCTGTGCTTTCCTTGGAGAAAATAATTATTCTCAGCTAATAATGTGAGTCTCTAGGCTAGCGATTAGTATTTTTGCAACAGTGTAAATTTGCTTTCTATTGTCATAGACTCAGGTGCATTATTTACTGCGTGATAATCGATCTGGAATGAATCTTTGACTCGAAAGGACATCTATTCTTTAAAGCTCATCATCACCTTGCCCTGCTTTTGTTTATGCCTCAGATTGGAAGGTATATTTTTCTTTGTGATTTGCAGAAGTCATTGCCAAATGCTTGAAAGTCCATCAGCCATGTTACCTTGAAGATCTCTTTTATGAATGATAACAACAACGATGACAATAAATAAAGCACAATTATGTCCAAAGAGATACAAGGTAGTCACTTGTGAGGTGTGA